GGACCACGGCCTTCACTGCAGGAATATCTACAACGGCAACGCAGGGACCACGGCCTTCACTGCAGGAATACTTACAACGGCAACGCATGGACAACGGCTTCATTTTCAAAGCTCGGGAAAAGATTAGGGACGATAACAGTTGCTCAACTGGATGGAACACGGTAAGCTACTGAAAGTGAGAACCATGAAAATTCCAGGGGAGAATGGAAACATTCTGGGCCCGGCTGTGCCGGCGGCGGGCCTGGCAGGTGGCTGTGTCGGGAGGTGAGTCAGGACCCAGAGCCAGAGGCGATGTTCGCTCATTGAAATTATCCTTACTTATTTCCAAACCTAATTAGCGTGCATATCTGTCTATTCAAAATTACTTCAAACAAACCTGTGTGTCATCAGAAATGGCAGACGGAAGCCACTTTCTACCTGCTACAGGCTGAATGTCTGTGTCCTCAAAATTCCCATGCTGAAAAGTGCTCACTCCATGGTGCTGGTCTTTTTGTAAGGGACCCCAGAGAGCTCCCTGCCCCTTCCACCATGCGAGGACACAGCAGGAAGCACCATCTGTGGGCCAGGAAGGGGCCCTCCGCAGACGCCGAACCTGCCACACCTCAACGGGACTTCCAGCCTCTGGAACTGTGAGCAGGAACCACCTAGGGTTGGAGCCCCCCCATCTGTGGCCCTTTGTCTCAGCCTCTGAATGGGCTGAGACCCCTTCTGTGTCTGCCACGCACATGGCCAGCCGGCCACACACCCCTCCTGCGGAGGCCCATGTGACTTCAGAACCCTCCCTGACCCAGCTTTCCACAGGGCCACTGATGACTCGTCCATGAGAGCAGGGGCCAGCAGGCGGGGGCACCTGTGAGCGTGGCTGACGCCTGCAGGAAGCTTTCGGGCCTGGGCCTGGGGACCTGGTGGAGCACCCTGATCTGTGACTGCGGCCGAGGCCCACGCTCCCTGCCCCTGTGGGGGGAATTCGTCCAGTCATGAGAGGCTACTCACGGACCAAACATCTTCAGGTACTTGATGCCCATCTCAACGGCCTTGTGAGCACAGGCCATGGTGGTCTCATGGTCACGTGCCGCGTAGGCGAAGTGGGTCAGCCGCGTCAGGGTCTGTAGCTCCACCAGGGGGTCCGACCAGTTGCACTCAGAAGCCATTTTCACCACCTTCCGTTGGGCGGCAGAAGAAGGGGCACCGTGTGAGCGACAGCGACCTTCCCACCACCTGCACTCCCCACGGTCACGCGGCACGTGATTCTAAAGGGAGGCGCGGCCTGTGGAGGCCACTGCATGCTGCCCACAAAAGCGGAGCTGCCACGTCCACGCCTGTGAGGGCCCCTCATGTCCTGTGGCTCCCTGGCTACCCCTGACCTGCACTGAATGGCTCAGGGTGGGGCAGGACACAAAGGGTCTGCTCAGACGGCGTGCGCCTCACCACAGGAGGCAGGGGGGCTCCCAGCGTGAAGCTGAAGGAAGCATGTGGAGGGCGCAGCTCTGTTGGGAGGTGGCGGAGAGCGGGGCGAGCACATGCACTGGGACCTGAGTTCTGCCCACCATGGGCAACACCCTTGGAGCCTTGGGGTCCTCGCCCCTGGCCTCCCAGGACCCCGGGGTCACCTACCTGGGCCAGGGAGGGGACGGTGAAGTCCATGAGGCCCAGCCCATTGCACGAGTACATTTCCAAGGCAACAAGGACTCTGGTTATTGAGCTGACATCCTCACTGGTGCCCTGGTGGGGAGGATGCCCTGAGTGTGTCAGCCCCAAGGGTGCAGGGGGAAGTCTGGAACACGTGTGAACACAACGCTGTGGGGGAGCGTCTGGAATATGCCTGAATTTAACACTGCAAGTTAGTTTAAGGGCTATAATCAGACCCTGAAATTGGGAGCATTTATACTTGAGATTCTGTTTGTAACTGTTGACCTACACACCATCTTTTCAGACAAGAGCCCCAGGGCCGTGCAGCCCCATGCGTGAGGCAGCCTTGTTGGACAGTCAGGTGACCCCCGTGGAGGGAAGGACCTGACATGGTGGCTGCCTGGGTAGGCAGGTTGATGCCTGGACCCTCCCTGCCTCCCTGGGCCCCACTCGACCCCTTGCTCCTGGCCAGGCTTCAAGGCCCCTCCTCCATCAGGCTTTCCAGGAGCTCATAGGACCTCACGGAGCCCGCTCATCCCTGGGAAAGGGCAGCAGCCCCAGAGGCCCAGAAGCTCACAGACCCCATGGATGGGTGGGCAGAGGAAGCTCCCATCAGGGACTGCCAGGCCGCCCCGATGGCACCATCTGGAGCTAAGTGGTCCCGGGAGCCCACCACCCCCGGCTGCCTTGGACATCTATGTCCCCAGGGCATTGGTCAGAGCCCGGATGCCGACAGGGTGCCCACCTGCTCCTCGGTGCCCAGCCGTGGCCCGATCTGCTGCTGCAGGAGCTGCTTGGCCTTGACCCAGGTGGCGACGAGCTGCTGTCGGACGCGGGTGGGCACCGTCTCCTCTGGCGTGCTCCCGTTGGTCAGGTTCAGGGCAAACTCGCAGACCTGGGATGGACGCGTTCTTAGTCACGACGCCTAAATTCTCAACAGGGGACCCTGAGCCAAGATCCAAACCACTAAAAGACAGACGGCCGCAGCTCCTGGTCCAGCCCGTGGAGGGCCCACAGCACCTCAGGCTCAGGCCCTCCAGGGGCTGCACGGCAAACCCAGCAGATGAAGACCCAACCCCGGGCGCCGAGGACGCGACTGCACACACAGGAAGACAGCCGCCACCTGGCCTCCAGCGTACCCCAGCCTCTGGTTGGGACAGAGGAGCTGTCCGGCTCCCCTCCCACACTGCGCCTGGTATCGGTTGGGGGTGGGGCAGCAAGGATGGAGCCCCAAAATCGGGGACGTGAAATCTGCCATGTGCTTTGCCCACAGTGTAGGGCACGTGGGCTGCTGCTCTGAGCCTCTGGGTTGCGCCCCAGGTCCCTGCCTTGCTGGCCATGTGACCAGGCAAGATTCTTCATGCTGTGCCTCAGTTTCCCCACCTCTACGTAGAAACAAAACCCAGTAGTATGTCGTCGTGAGAATCAGCGAGTCCCTGTTCCGAGCCTCACCCAGTGCAGAAAGCACAGGCCACCAGGAGCTGCCACTGGCAGACCCAGGGACGTCCCGTCTCTCACTTTCTCTTCCCCAGTAAAGCATAACGCAAACACCTGCTCCTTGCAAAATGTCTCTGTAGCTCAGACAGCTGCTGGGCAGCGTCCTTCCTTCTGGATAAACTTCCAAACACGTGTCGGATTCCACAAAAACATCCTGTCGGAATGTTTGGGGAGCCCTGACTCTCCTCTTCGCCACCTGGCTCCTGGTGGGGCTGTGCAGATGCCTGGCCCAGAAGCTACCCTAGCCGGCTTCCTGTGCCTCTTCCTCGCACTCTGCCATTCACTCCACGCTCCCAGAGTCAATTGCCAGCTCAGTGCCAGGGCTTCCTCTAAGCATCTGGATCCGGCCAACATCACATCCGCGAGGAAGCTCCTCTGCACCCACCAGCTGCCCCCTGGGGCCGCAGCAGGTTCAGCCGCACAGACAGCTGCCCAAGCCGTCCACAGCACCCTCCCTTCTGCAGCCTCCAGCCTGACCCCTGCAGGCCCCTGGGGCCGGCCCCTTGTCCCTTCTCAGAACCTCACCTAATGCCCAGCTGGTGCTCCAGGCTAGCCCACACTGACTGCCCGGTGCCAGCCGTCCCCTCTGGGAGCCGGCAGCACCAGGGCCCTCTCCACTCTGGCTCTGGCCTGGCATAGCTGACTGTGAGCACTGACCGTGAGCACTGACCATGAGCGCCATGCCGCAGGCTCGACTCTCTGGCCCATGGTTTTATCCATGGTCCAGAAAGGGTCACACAGGATGAGCTTTAGCACGAAGTCTTCCAGCAAAGGCGGGGACAGACCCCCTGTGCCCCGCCCGGTACACTCAAGGCCTCCCTGTCCTGGTCCCACTGTGGGTGCTCCACACTCAGGCGACGTGAGGTTCCTGACAGACTCCCTTGACTCATTAGGAAACGGGCTTTCTCCTGGTTTTAAGCAGCTCTTCTGAGTTAGAAATGAGCAATGGGTCAGCAAGCATTTCAGCATCCGGCAGCGAGGACACTGTTTTCTTCCTTCCTTCGGGATTACAACAAAATCCAAATTCCATGGGAGAAATGGCCCACTGCGCCGCCAGCACCGCTCCACGCGGGTCTGCTGCATCTTGCTGGGGTGGCTACAGGGACGTGTGGGGGCTCGGTCCGTTTCTTGCTGCTCCAATCCGCCATTTCTCCTTCTATTTCTACTGTCCTCTCCACCTGGGCCCCATGCCCACCCACGCGTTTTGCTTTGCTCTCTCCAGCCCTCACCTTATTTCCCAGCAGTGGGGGCCCCTGATGTTTTACTTCCTAAATTGTTCTCATATCTGTCGCCGCTACTGAGGGAAGTTTGCTCTCCTAGGGTCTTTCCAGAAGCCTTCAGAAGCTCGACCCCCAGCCTCCCGATCTGCAGGGCTGCCTCTTGGGTCAGCTGCAACCCCCCCACACACACACACACCCTCTCTCCCCGCCCCCTCTCTTTCCCCCCCCCCCCTCCCCCCCCCGCCCCAGCATCATGGAGGTGGTACCTCCACCGCTGTTTTGATCTCGGAGGTGGCTCCTGCGTCCAGTGGGCTGTGAAAGGCATTTGTTCGCACCAATTTCCTGGACTTCTCAGCGGCCAGGGGTGGAATCCAGCTGATGATCAGGCCTCGTGCCAGCGTGTTGCAGAGCGTCACCAGCATCACAGGGTCCCTGGGAGACACGCTCATCAGAGGGAACCATGGCCCCTGCAGGCCACACCTGGTGCTAGGCATGGAGTCCTCAGGCAGCAGGAGGACTGAGGTGCACGGTGCCCATGACCCTCCTCTGCTGAGACGCAGAGAGCCACGGAGCACAGCTGTTTTGGGGTGTCCCGAGGGAAGGGGCCAGTTGTGGGAAGAAGCCTCTCCTCACGGGCACGCAGTGCAGCCGACCCACACGCACCCGCTGTGGCCTGTGGCCTTGACGATGCTCAGGAGGTGGTGCAGGGCGTCCACCAGCTCCCTCTGCCGCCCGGCCAGGATCAGATGGCGGCTGTGGTTCAGGACGTAGACCACAGCATTCTGCACGATCCACGCCTCCTGGAGTTCCTGTCCAATCTCTGCAGAACGCAGCCAGTTATTCATGGCGTACTGGGACAGGCTCTCAATCCAGGTTCTGCAAAACGTGCATCAGCAAGCCCTTAGCATGGGGTCCCCGGCCCCAGGGCCAGGGAGCAGGGCTGCTGCGGGGCCTGCGAGGAACTGGGCTGTGTGGCAGGAAGCGGGCGGGGCAGGTGAGTGACCAAGGCTTCATCCGTATTTACAGACGCCCCCATCGCTGGCACTCCTTCCCGTCCCATCAGCGGCCACTTTCGAGTGTCCTAGGAACTCGAACCCCACTGTGACCTGCACATTTGAGGGATGCATGTTTCCTGCTCCTTGTGAGAATCAGACAAAGGCCTGATGATCTGAAGTGGAACAGTTTCATCCCGAAACCAGCCTCCACCCAGACAGTCCATGGAAAAATTGTCTCCCACAAAACCAGTCCCAAAATGGTTGGGAACGGCTGCCTGAGTGTGAAACAAAGCCCTTCCCCACCCGCCCTCCCAAAAGAGCGCACGGACTCTTCCTGTGAGCCTCTCCTGTTTCCGGTAGTCTATGGAGCGCCGGCCTCAGAAAGGGGCTCCTGTGGGGACTGCATGGGTCAGAAGCACGCTGCCTCACCACCCCACCCCTCAGCACCCCCAGCCTCCCAGAGCCTCCACCTGAAGCACCGTGGCCCAGCCCGGTGCTCCCTGTTCCCAGCGGCCCCCTCGTTCCAGTGTGTCCTCATCCTTCCCGGATGCCTCCAATGGCCCCTGGCTGGTTCCCATGGCCACAAGTGTTCACCCCCGCCAAGGCACCCCCGCTCCCCTCAAACCTCCCGGCCCCCGCCCGAGGCTGCGTCCAGCCACGCTGCTGCTGCGCCGTGCCTCCTGGCCTCCCTCCACACTGCACCGCACTGCCCTCCCTCCTGGCCAAGGGAACGTCACCCTCTTCCAGCTGCCACTGTCGCCCACAGGCTGCCCCTCCTCAGGGAGCCACCACGCCGAGGGCAGGGCGGTCAGTCCTCACCCAGCAGTGTGCACGTGGACAGCGTCCGTCTGCCCCGCTAGACCAGGCTGCGTACACTTTTCAAGCATTTTGGGTTTTGCAAGCTCCATCTAATCTTCGCCGCCTATTGTTTCTACTTTATTTGACAAACTTAAATGTGTCAAAGCCGCCCTCAGCTCATGGGCTGTAAACAGCCTGAGCTCTAAATTTCAGAGCCCCTCTCTCTGTGAGCAGGCCTACAACGAGTGCAGAGCTCTGCTCAGCTTTGGGCCTGGACCTGGAGAGGCATCTGGAACCCGGGAGCCCAGGGCAGGCCTGGGCTGGGCGGCTCCTCACAGAGCCCGGAGCTGCTGCAGGAGAGAGGATCCCAAGAGGCCAAGGCCAAGGACACCTGCAGCCATCACCGTCAGTGCTGCTGCCTGACCTCCTCTCCCTCCACAGGGCTCGGCTGGGTGGGCGCAGGCATGCGCGGCAAGCACAGAGAGCTGGCTTTCCTTCTGCCCCATGACCAGCGAGGATGGGGTGCCGTGCCCAGCTTCTGCTGCGTGGGTAGTCAGGACACCCATGCTTACCAGGTTACTGTGCTTGACATGGCTGCATCGGAGGGACAAGTTCCCACGCCCCACAGCATGGCAGGTGACCACAGTTTACAGGGGTGCTGGAGGGGGGCACAGAACGTTCCCAACACGGAGAAAGAACGCACGTCCGGGGTGACAGATTCACTAATGACCCAGATCTGATCTCCACACGCTACACGGATGGAAACGTCACCCCAGAAGTTGTACGATTACTGTCAATGTAAAAACTAGTTTAAAACCTTTAATTTCAGATTAAAAACAGGTAAAACCCATCACTGTCAGTAAAGCACTCGGATTTCATGATTGTTTCTTAACTTGGAACCTCATGTAGGCAAATCCTATGAGATATCCTATCCAAACTTTTCTTACTGATACACAAGGAGTTTTTGAGGCTCTTCCCACAATAGGAGGGAGAGCACGGCTTTTCCTCTGAGCAAATACAGGAGCTGCTCCTTCTGTTTTCCACCATGAATACCACCTCCCCGTGAAAGCAGCTGACTCTCACACATCTTGAGAGAACTGATGAGAGTGAGCAGGGCTGACACTGGAGCGCCCTGGGAAAGGCGCCTGTGAACTCTCACTCACAGTAATAACACACCACGCCTGGGGTCTCACTAGGGAACACTGCTAAGAACAGGTGAGGTCATCTGTTCCTACATTACTCCATTTCCTCACCCCATTTCCGCTTTCATGGTCTTGGTCATTTACGGGACGATGGACACCTTCCCCACGCGAGAAGGCTGTGTCCTCAGGAATGCAAAGGGTGTCCCTCCCCACACCAGCCTCAGCGCGGAGGACACTCTGACCCGTGTCCCGGGCAGTGCTCCAGGCTGCGGCCGCTGCCCACCTGTATGTGATCCACTCAGCATTCGCCTCCGGGGGTTCAGGTACGTAGCCAGCCGGGTGCTGGCTCAGGTCTTCGGGAGGGATGGCCCGGTCATTCAGCTCTACACCTTCTGACCGCAGCAAATGGACAGTGGCCTGCAGAAGATGCGTGCACTGGGAAAGACTGTGGTCGGAGCACCGGCCCAGCACCGGACGGGGAACACACGCACCCTTCCCTTAGCTCTGATTTGCAAAGTGCCAAGCACGGCCAGGGAGACCCAGCTGGTGTGCCCTTTGCAAGCTGGGCCTGCCTGACAGCCAGTCCAAGGACTAAAGCCAGTCCCTTGTAGACTCTCTCCACCATCACAGTGGGGGTGGGGAAGAGAAGCCTCCTTCCAGAGCACCACACACCCCAGAGGAGTGAAGGAGCTGCAATGGCTTCTGGGTGTCAGCAGACCCTGGCCAGCACCCGCACCTCCCCTGCATCATCACGTTTTACGTGCTGCAGGGCCAGGGGCTGCACTGGCCCCTGGAGTGTGGCTGAACACCCCCCACAGCCCCATGGCCTCCACTGGCTCTGGTTCCGCCATCTGGGCTCTGGCTCCCTGAGCAGCGGGGTCTGTGCCGCTTCCCTCTGTGACCCCAGCTGAGGGCGTGGGCCTGGCCCTCGGGAACCACTCAGTAGATGTACTGAATAAATCAGCAGGGGTGCTGGCCTCCGAGGCTGAGTGCCACGTACCCACTCAGTAAATCCACAGAAACCTCACCTAAAGTGGCTATGAAAACTCTGAAGTCACACAATGTCACAAAGGTCACACATGTTGGCATTGCACAGTGGCGGCAAGCTCAGACCCAAGGTCCCAGGGTCAGGTTTGGATCCAGCTCTGCCGTTCCTACCTGCTGACTTTGGGCAGGGCGAGCCAGGGGGTTCTCTGTGCCTGCATGGGAGGAAGAGGCCCGGCGGACCCACGGCAGGGGCCCTGGACATCACACCCCGTTCAAAGTGCTTCTGCAGCGAACGCCAAGGTGTCATCCCTCAGCGGAGTGGCAGTCGCCATGTCTCACCCACAACTGCAGATTCACCACTCAGAAATGGTTCCCAAGAGAAATTTACACCCATGCACATTTTGGTTTCTATTTTTCTCCTAGAAAATCTTCCAAGAATCCAGGAAGTTTTCCCTCCCTCATGTTCATTTTGTTTGAAGTGCAGAAGGTTCTATGATGATAAATATCTGCAGTGGATTAACAGGCTGTGTGGACACCAGCACCAGCCCTGCAGCGGGCTGCACGGATGCAAGAAAGCAACGCTCTGAGCCGTGCTGCGGGGACGCACCTCAAAACTGATGCGCCCCTCCAAGATGCACTTCAGCACTCATGAACCCCTCCCGCCACACCTCAGCGCTGATGAACCCCCCTCCATCACCCATCAGCGCTGATGAACCCCCCTCCATCACCCACCTCAGTGCTGATGAACCACGCCACATCTCGGCACTGATGAACCCCCCTCCCCCCTCCGCGCTGATGAACCCCCTTCCGTCACCAATCTCGGTGCTGATGAACCCCCCTCTGTGACGCACCTCAGCGTTGATGAACCCCACCTCCGCGAACTTCCGCAGCAGGTCAGGAGACACCTGCCTCTGCAGGATGACCTCAGGCTGGCTCCCAGCGTCATGCACTGAGCCGTCCCCACCTCGCTTCTTCCTCCCTGAGAGAAACGGCAGCAGGTAAGGATCATGGTTTTCTTCCAGCAAATAAAACACACGAATGCCTGGTCCACCTCGGAGTGCCTGAGCCTCTTCGCAGTTGCACGCAGAGCCACCCAGCTGGGCAGGCGGGCCGTAAGTGGGCAGCTTGCCCAGGGCAGGGCCAGAGGAGCTCTCTGTGCCGGCAGAGCTGGCTGCCGAGTTGGGTCCCAGCCAGGGCTTGCTCTTGGCCACACCCCTGCAGACGCTCTTGGCACCTTTGGCTCTCCAAGCACCTCCTGCATCCCCGACGCCTGCAGGACTCCCAGGCCTCCGTGCCCATTCTGTCACCTCCCTCCCTCGTCTCTTTGGGTCCTGACTGTCCCTGAGACGGGAGCTTCTCCAGGGCTGGGTGCTGACTGTGAGGAGCCTGCGCCACCCATGCTCTACTCCACGCTGGGCCTGTGGCTGCTGCCCTCTGCCCTTGGGCGCCCCGCATGGGCATCTGCTCACTGCTGTGGCTGCCCCTGCCTGAGCCTCTGAGGCCTCTAGGGACGAGTTGGAACGTACCGACGGTGCTCGTGGCATGGCTGATGCAGCCAGATGTGGCTGCCACCCGCGATTGGCGGCCCTGATTAGTGGGAACTGTGACTATTGTAACACGGCAATGCCCTATCTCACGTGAAGGCCCCATGTGTCAAAACCGCATGAACCACAGCCCTTCCTGCACACAGAGGGCGGACGCGGCCAGGCTGGGACACACTCATGAGGGGTGTACGAACCTCTCCGCAGCCTCAGCTTCTTCACCTTGACATTGTCATACAGGAGGCAGAAGCGGCTCGCCGTCCGACAGACGTCCCACACACCCTGCTTCCGTGCCACTTTGGCTAGCTCTGCCCAGATCTGTATCCTGCTCACCGAGGACCCAGAGAGGGAAAAGTGAGTAGACAGATGCAGCAGCTAAACTAGAAGAACCTGGGCTGGCTGCCTGAGAAAAAACCACCGAGGTTCTGCAGTCTACAGCTGGCAAAAGGAGCCTGGCGTGCACGCTGGGGATGGCCTGGCGGGGGCATGTCCTGCGGTGGGCACAGCTCTCCACCTCCCACCAGCCAGCTGCGTGCGGCACCTCCATCCCTGTGGCGAGAAGAAAGGCCACCCAATCCACTCCCTGGGGGTGCATGGGGCAGGCCTCCCTGGGGTGGTAGTGACTGCAGGGCTGGTACCAAAAATCAGCCTGCTCTGGTCACCGGCACTGCGTGCCCTCCAAGTGACAGAAGGCACAGGGCGTCTGCGCACCTCACAGGCCGTGGCCATCATCACAGGCTGGGAGGTCCCATATGTCAGGACCCCTAGGCCGGGACCACCTCCCACCATCCTGGAGGAGGTGGCCTCGTGTGTCCTCAGGTGGCCACATGTGGGGTCAGCTCGGCCACCACAGACACTGGCTCTCTGGCTGAGTGACCTCCGGGCTGGGCTGTGCGTGGCTCTGATTCCCCACTGACCTCTCCTGCTCTGACCTCCCCCCCCCCCGCCCCTCCCCCCCCCAACCCCCCCCCCCTCACCTCCCCCCCCCCCTCCCCCCCACCTCCCTCCCACCTTGCCTCTCCCTCCCTCACCTCCCTCCCTCACGTCCCCCCCTCACCTCCCCCCCCT